AACCCCTATATATTGGGTACATGGACCCTAAACCCTAAACCTACATATCCCCTTTAACGGGACCTAATTATTGGGTACATGGACCTAAACCCCAAACTTAAGAGGAGTCCAGCTCCGCCCAGGAGGCCATAAGACCGTTCGGATCTGACAAAAAACGCCTGCCACGCTCTTACAATGCAGGTGTACGCGCTTTAGGGTTGAGGGTTTAGGGTTTAGGGTTTATAGCCCCCCTTAAGTAGATAGAATATGGGGTATATGGGGGTCTCACTATAATACATCCAAAGCCATATTCTATCTACGTAAGGGGGACTATAGGGGTGCAAGGTTTCCCAGAAGGCCCAAGTCGCTAAATAATGAGGTTTTAGGTCCCATATAGTCTGAATGGCTTTGGGTACCTAGAATGCTCATGTTCGGGTACTGGGATTCCTTATCACTTGGGCCCCAAAATTCAGGAAATCTGGTGGGCCCACAATATGTACTACCTAGGTAGCTGGACCCCTAGGGCATCTAGGGTATAACAACCGTGGTAATTGACAATCATGATCATGAGATTCATGAAGACTGTAAATCTAACAGCCAGAATACTTATCCCCAAGGGTCCAAAACCCTAACCTTAAACTCTAAATCCTAACCCAAACAATAGGGTTTTAGGACCCAGGTACTATAATACTAATGGTATTTGGGCCCGGAAACCCTACCACTTGGTAGTTTCCCAAAATAGGGGGACCCCAATGTAACCCAAAATACTATACTCCTTATTATATAGGGACCCCCAAAAGGGTACCCCTAATTTTGGGAAACCCCCACTTGAGTCCTGGGACACTTGGGGAGCAAGGCAAGAATAGCGACAAGGGAGAGGTGGCAGGGTTTAGGGTCTAGGGATTACCTGAACCCCAAAAGTATGTAAAATAATGGCCTTTCTGGCTGTTCTTTTGGGCCATTATCTTATCTACTTTGGGGTCCAGGTAGGGTTTAGGGATTGCCGATGATAGTACTCATAGCAGAATCGCAATAGAGACGAATGAAATCCCTGCAGTACAAAGATTTGGTGGAAGGCCACTGGTAACACGCGTAAGACACAACATTGTTCGACCTGCAAGTTAAATCTAAATCCAAGACCAGCAGTGACGCCAAGCGAGGGTAGGAGCCCAAAGCAACCAAATTTGCCTGAATCAGAACAGTGCCCGGTAAGAATCATACAGCTCCTGTCTGAAGGTCATCTTGTTTATACTTTTGTTGGGCTACCTTTTGCCCGAGTACTTAGGCAACTCACTCGGATTGCGCCCGGTGTGCCTGATGGCCGCATCCTCCCGTGCTGCCTGGCCCTCCAGAACCTGCGTGATGCTGCTGCGTGCAGTCACGGGACCTACAAAATCACAGGTAGCCTTTCGCAGTCTACATTCGCGAATTCGCAATTGTCTCATGTATAAATCCGACATCATGTTGCAAGAGTCATGCAAGTAGTGGGTGCCCGCGCGGTGTGGGGGCACAGTCTCCAAGACAAACATGTGCACCCTTCTGCACGGATCGCATCGTGACACTAGTGCTTGTCTTTCTTCCGCGATAGTCGTGCGTGCATCAAACAATTAGACTGGCCCAACCACCCAGCGCTAAACTCAGCACAAGCCGATCAAGGCTCAGCGACAATCCAGTGTATGTGTAGATATGGAACATATACTATGCACGGTCTAGCTGTCTAAACAACCTGTCTAATGTATCAACCTGACAATATCCAAGCATCAAGCAAGTGCTGGTTGCCCGCGCAAGTGTGGCAGGACACCTTTCAGACAAAAGACGTGCACCCGCCCAAGCGGATTACGTCGTGACACGAGTGCTTGTCCACAATAACAGTGCGTGCCTCAAACAATTACACTGGCCCAACCACCCCGCGCTAAACTCAGCACAAACCAAATCACGCAACGCATACACAATGTACGCGTGTATACAGCCTGTATATGTATGTATATATATATATGCACACTACATAAAGCATGGACACCAGAACAATACAATACCTATCTACAATGTCTGTCCGATGTATAACCTGATGATGTCTAGGTATCAAGCAAATGCTGGTACCCGCGCAGGGTGGCAGCGCAGCTTCCAAACAAAAATGTACATCTGCCCGATGGGATCACAGCGTGACACCATTGTGCTTGTCTTGCCGCCCAAAAAATTGTGCATGCATGAAAAACTTCCGCTGAGCCAACCACAGTGCGCCAAATTCAGGCGATAACCTCTGATTGCCCAGGGTTGCGGCATAGACCTAAGAGCAAAATTCTGCACAGCGCAAGACCGGCTTCACATGGTCAAGGGACAGCATTTGAGCTTCGTCATCACGTAGCCATTGTTCATATCATAGTACATAATCCCTGAAACGAAGAACATGCCCGCAGGGCAGCCGATCCAGTAGCCCATGGATCGGGCGACGGAATCGCTGATGTCCACGCAATCTGCTTCCATGTAGCGGTGCGCCTGCGACCATGGCTTTCTGCACATGGCGTCCGATACATAGTCATAAACGGTGCCATGGGTGACCCTCCTTCTCCGGCCAAAATTCCAGTTATCGTGGCTGGAGTATCTCTTGATCTCTGACATGAAATAGCCTGGGGAGCAGTGCTGCTCCCCAATTGCTGGCCACTCTGTACCGTGAGCGGCTGGATATTCTGCCAGAAAAGGAATTTTGTGGTAGGCTATGGTTTCAATGTCTCCAATGGTATCCTTCCTTGCAAAGTAGAGGCCCTGAATCAATCCCAGCCTCTCCCCGCAGTACTCAGACCTGCGATAAAAACCGCCGGAGTCCGTGTCTAAGCACCAAAATGCCTTGTAGAGGCCAACGTCTGCCGTCATGTGGTGCTCTTTCATGCGCGCCTGGTAAGCGACATCGACTGGCCGGCGGCTCATCTTTAACAACAAGTCAAAACGGCCCCAGACACTCTTGTACGCTTCCTCTGCCTGATTCGCAACATCGTCTCCCCAGGCCCCATTCATGATGCCCGACATACAAGCCCACTGTCCGGTTGAGACCACATCAATTGTGTCGCTTAGCTCATTCATGACCCTGTCTGCAAGGTTTTGGCGCCATGAAGGCTCCAGCTCGATGATAGAGCTGATAAGCGCATTTTGTGTGTATGCCAGCTCAAGCATGTTCAGCACGGTGCATTGGTGGTGCCACTGGTAACAATCTACTGAGATTTCCGAAGGAGGGTACCTGGATGGCAAGCACTTGGAGCCACCGAGGAAGTGCATTTGCAACAAGCCTACATCGCGCCAAAGCATCAAAAACCACATCAGTTCGATCTGGCTCTCAAATCCTGACGCTGCTCCTTGTCCTTCTCTCCCAATGATGCTCTCCATAAAGACAATCTCAGACCGTACTGCAGCCATCTCCGTGCGGAACTCATGAGCTTGCTCTGAGTTTACTTTCGCAGTTACCAGCTCCTTGACCTCGGCCATGATCTTCTCATAAAGATCTTGCATGGCATCTCCCTGGCCACCCAAAAGCCCGCCGATGACACTGGTGAGAAAAGTCGCTGCCAACCCTAAGAGGGGATTGGCTGCAAATGCCACAGCGGTCAGCGCACCACCTATGGCGTTGACAAGAGCTCCAGCATCAGGGGTCTCTCCAGTTACCCAAGCATTGAACATCATAGCCCCGAGCTCTCCGCCTTTCTCGTACATACCGGCTCTGTCTGAATTGCGGAGGTTCTCGGCACACTGACTAAAAAACTGGTTCCCTGTCTCCGCTGCCATATCAAGCGAGATTAGTTCGCTTTCGCTGGCAGGCCCTGCAGCCCGAAGGTTGCCCAAGAGCTTGCGATGTGAAGACAGCAGCTCGACGCCCAGACTGCTGGCTGCCTCTTCCACAACGGCGGGATCCTAAAACAGCGTGCTTGGCAGGATACCAACGTGCAGGCATAACCAAAACAATAATAATGACAACAATCACAATAGCAATAATAACCGTATAAGAATAATGACAATAGCTACAATCAAAACATAGCAGTGATGATAGGAATTATTTGTCTATTATTATTATTATTACTATTATTATTATTACTATTATTATTATTTTGCCATTATAATGTGGGGTCCTTGGCCAGGCGCTCTCGGAGCCGTAGGGCTGCCGTGGAAGACAGGATGCCTGCATCGCCCTCACCGGAAGCTTCAGGATCCTGGGTGGGTGCCTGAAGAAGGGTGGACAAAGGGTTGTGTGTGTGGGGGTGGCTTTGCGTCAAGGATTGAGGGTTTAGGGTTTAGGGCTTACGGTTTAGGGATGCTTTGGGCTTAGGGTCTAGGGTTTAGGGACGGCAGCTTCTTTTAAGGAATCCACAAGGGGTCCTTACTAAGAAAAGGTCAGGTGGATCCAGAATAAGGACTCCCTAAAAACTCCGTGAGGCCTCCCCACGGCTCCTTTAGGTCCCATATGGGTAGTGTTTTTTTGGTGGTTACACCCAGTAAGATTATATTCCTTATAATAAAAATACTATACCCCAAAAGGAGGATAGAATCTTACTCTATCTTGGGTACCATAGTATCCACACATAAAATACCACTCATATGGTCTCTTAACTTGGGCCCCCCTTGGGCCTTAGGGCCTCCTTAACAGATTAGACTGGGTCCCAGGCTTCTGGCTCCGCAGAAGCTGGCGAAGATTGCGCGTGTACTCCCAGCAGCACCGCAAAACCCAACGAAATGACGAACAACGCCATTTGAGGCACAGGCAAAGTGGTAGCGTCTGGAAAGCAAACTGCCAAAAACAGACAGCACTTGTGGCAATCTGGCAGCCTTGAGCCCAAACTGATCAAGGTTGTCATGCAAACTACATAGCACCTCCTGAGCATTCAAAGGAACACTTGCGAGTACACGAGTGTTTGCGGGAATGCCTTTGTAGTGCGGGAAGGGTTGACCCATCGCCTCAGTCAGGGCACATACCGGAGCATGCACTCAACTACATCTCTTTGATCACTCCAGCCCCGGCAATGCTCAAGTTGGGCTTTCTAAGCCCCAAGCGGGGTGGGCGCAGTGGCTTCTGCCAGCTTCAGCGATGTCTGCACATCTTCCGGCGAGAGGTTCCCAGGGAAGCGCAAGGGGGCAGGGAAGACTGGCGAAGTGCTGGGCTGGAACTGCACCCGCTCACCGGCCTCTGCTACTAGCAGCAGAGGCTCCGGGTGAGGTGCAGCCAGCTCCGAAAACAGTTTGCTGAAGAGACCCTGCAGGATCTCTGTGGCCAAGGATGGATACTCTCGCCGAAGATCCTCCAAGTCTGAAGGGAGAAGCAAAGCAGCCAGAGTTGGTCGAGCAGCGAAGACGTCCAGTGGACAAGGCTGCACACCGCCAAGCAGGAACTCCAAACCAAGGCAGTCTCCAGGTCCGAACCAAACGGATGGCGATCCCCCAGCATCTCTGAAGCCTGTGAACTTGCCGTCAAAGACGATAAGAGCTCCCGTGAGTGGCTCTCCACGTGTCAACACACTGACCCGAGGCTGCCACTGGGTCACGCGCAGGCGACAGGCCAGCGCAAGCAAAGAATGGTAGTCTGCACAAGGAAGGAACCTGCCTTCATCTCTCAAACGCACGAGAAAGTCTAGAACCCGACGCTCCGTGAATGCTGCCAGGCTCCACTTCAATCGATTTGAAACTGGACAACCCCGGAAGAAACAGCTGCACGAGTCAGCAAGTTGCATTAGCAGCGCTCGCAGCAGCGAGTGGTGAAAGGCAGGGCGCGCACGGCGCACAGCTTCCAACTGATCGAAACTAAGAACGGCAATGCAGCCTCAGTTGTCCAGTGATTCTCTGGGGCTTTCCCGAGGTTAATCCATGTGCTTGTACTGGGTTTCTAAATTACACCCCAAAAGGAAAAAAGGCTACCCGCTGGACAGGTAAGCAGCCGTCCTCCAGGGCCCTCAGAGTGTAAGGTCGGGCATGGCTCTTCTCCCAGAGCGCTGCTCGGGCGCCACCAATGACCTCGCCGGCCTGGTGGGTTGCTGTTAAGGAACTTGGATTAAGTTACCATAATGGGTATAGATAGTAAATAATAGGGTTTCCCCAATATAGTAACTTAATTTAAGTTCCTTAACAGCAACCCAGCCTGGTGGTCCCCCAACCGGATCTCTGCGCCGGCGCCCTGAGGCATGGTGGCAGAGGCCTTCCCTGCCAGTAGCAAACCTAGCCAAGACGCAGGCTCGCCTCGTAGGAACAGGATTTCTCCGCGGCGGAAGCCCAAAGGGGAAATCAGCTCGGCCAAGTCCTCCAACTCCGCAAGGCTCAACTCCGCAAAGAGGCCCTGGTCGCGTCTGAAGCGACGCAGAACGTCAGCAGTCCCAGCCACTCCGAGTTCACGGCTGGGAGGTCTCAGCTCCACTGCAGCCGGTGGATCCATCATCAGCTTTGGAGCCTCGACCCGCTTCCCAGGCAGCGAAGGAAAGACGAGATCAGCCTGGCATGGCAGACACCTCTCTCCCCTGACACGTCAAAATTGATTGCTGTCTACTATTCTCTTGCAAACCTACAGCCTTGGCCCGGGGCTCAGGTTCATTGAGCCGCGCTGCTGGGGAGCCGCGTGGCGGCGAGTACCCACGTGGCGGGGAGTAGCCGCGCGGCGGCGAGTAGCCACGCTGTGGTGAATCTGGGTGCCGTGCGCCCGGTGGCGCCCCCAGTTGCGGGGGCAGCAAATGCCCTTGGCAAGGGCACAAGCAGGGAGAGTTCGCATAAGCCTACAATTGTCTAGGGACTGGCTAGGGTCTGGATGGAATGCAGCAGAGGAAGCGGTGGGATCGAAGGGCGAGGATTTACAAAAACCATGGAAAAGTCTCTGACAAGCAAGCTGCCTGTTGGCTGGGCCATGTCTGCTCTACATAGCTATGCCCGAAGGTGCCATGGCATCGAGGCTCCAATTCCTTGCATTTCAACCGCTGCTGTGCTGAAACGATATTTTGCACCATGAAAAGTTGTCAGGAGTTCCAGATTGCAGCGAGGGAAATCTTGGCTATGCCCATAGACACAAGTCCAAACATGCTGAACACCTTCATGCCGCATTTAATCATGGCCGCGCTCGACGCTCGAGCACATAGCTGACGGGTCTTGCGTTGGTTGCAGCGGGTAGCATTTGCAAGGCAGAAATACGGAGGGTTCGCCCTCAAACTACTACTCCATTGAAATGGGGCCATGGATCCCAGGCACTACTTTCAAGCACGCATTCAAAGGTTTTTGTCAGCGCTGCCTTGCCGTTTTATCATGCTTCTTACAGTTATTACAATACATGACAGTACCACCACTCTTATCATCACTTCCGTCGCCTGCCAACATTCTTCTGCTTTCCCAACTTCTTACGGCAAGAAACTTTTCTGCGATAAGCGGCGCTCCGGCGCCAGCAACTTGCGGGCGGTCTCTGGCCGAGCCCACCGGTGGGGCATGGCTCCGGCGCCCGCAGGCGGCTCCGTGAACTTCAGGACGCTGTGGACCAGGAGGTACCTGCAATATTTCAGAGGTTGAAACATTGTGGTACTACGACAGCTACTACAAGATGAGTCATGAGTTCAAGTAGTGGTATCTGCCTCAGGGTAGATAATCCAGGGCTGCCTAGGGAGATCAGAGCATTCGCTTGGCGGCTTTGCCTTCAGAATCCTCCCGAGGGTTTGGATAAGCTGCCTAGGGGGAAGACATGGACTGTGAATCATCAAGCTCTCACATGAGATGATCCTTATAGCAGTCCCTATATAACTGATCATAGTAGCTTCCATTTTCTTATCCATTATCCCTATATAACCTCAATATGCTACAGTAGCTTCATCCTTCCTACCTCCCTCCCTGGCCCTGAACCCCAAAGCCGTGAAGCCCAAACGACAATCCGAAAAGGCGAAGCTAACCGTGTGCCATGGCTTCCATACTCAAGGCACGAGGATCTGTTCAGGGTTTGGTCTGCCGCAAGCTCGTCACAGCTCAACCTGGCAAACATAAAGGTACATTCTGGTCTTTCTGAAAAAATCTGCAGAGTAATCAGAAGGATGATTAGAGAGGAGAACGGTCAGCCTATCGCCCGTGGGCTCCGAAAAAGGATGATGCCATGATAAGGACGGCAAGGGTAGGGCGTTTTCGTCTTCAAAGAGGCGCAAACCGACACTTGCTGCCAGTGGTAGAAACTTGTTGTAAAGGAGCCATACCACAGGAGTGCTGACGTTCGGGGGCATCGAGCTGCGGTAGAGCTCATCACGGGTACCCGGGTTTAGGGTCAGGGTCTAGCGTTTAGGGGCTTGCCAATGGAAAGGGACTGAGTTCATAAGGACGCGCTGAGCCTTATGCGAGACCTACTAGTGAGACGTGCGTTTTAGAGCATGTGTTTCTTCAACTGTGCAGCAACGTTGCAAAGGCCATGGGAGGATGATAGTCCTACTATTGAGGATTCTCCCTATATCCGAAACCTGCTTCCCTAACCCTTAACATCCTTGTCCCTCAGCCCCAAAGACTACCTGGATGAATCTCCCAGAATTTCTCCTCTCAAGGCGCCTTGCCCGTTGAAGATGGAGCAGGAGCGGCCCCAGCTTCGAAATCTGCCTTCAAGGAGTATGGATTGGGTGTACCCCACGCCACCTGGTAAGAGTGATATAAAGGATAAAGTTGATTATATTAGGGTCCTCTTATATTATATGCCCCTGATACCACTATTACGGGGTGGGGGGTCCACCTAATGTATGGAACTGAGGGGGCTCTCCCAAAATGAGGACGTGTTAGAGCTCCGCCTTCCAGGAGTATGGAACCCAGGGCGGCTCTCCAAAAAAAAGAGGGGGTGACAAGGGTGAGGGGGATGTAGATGGTCTATGGCTTATAGAGTTATAGAGTTAGATGGGGTTTCTCAAAAGAAGGTATTATAAGGCTCTCATGTGTGGAATGCATACATACATATATGTAAGGATTGCAGCGGAGTTCTGGGACTCCCCAAGCAGGATTTTGTAAAGCAAGTCACAAGTTCCAAATGGGGAGAGGGGTTTAGGTTTTAGGTTTAGGGTTTAGGGTTTGAGACATTCGCTGGTTCGGGTTACCAAGTGACAAAGCGACGAGGCAGGAGTGACGATCGTATACACCCTCTCTGGCATGCAGCCCGTTCACAAAAACACCTCTGCCAATTTGATGAGAGACAGTCTTCGCAGTGATCTGGGACTGTTCACAAGAATGCCTGGATGATCCCTTCCTTTTTGACTCCCCATGTTTTTCTTAGGGTCTCAAAGGGCCTCTCATTTCAGAAATGCTGTCGGTTTGCTGCTGGGCAGGCCCTACCTTAAACGCTAAACCCTCAAACCTAAACCTAAACTCTGAACTTCAAGGATTCTTGGGTTGTACCCCTAATGTCGTACCCCGGAAAGGCTTTCCCAATATGGCTCTAATATTGCCCTTATATTAGCCAATGTAGTCCCCTATGGTCCCTTAAAAGGATCCCCAAACCCAGGGGTACAACCCCAGGGGTACAAGCCTGAAACCCTTGGGAACTCCTAAACCTTGAGGTCCAAGCACCTGAGCACAAAGCCCGAAAGCCAAAACCCTGGACCCAAACCCCAAGCCCTAAACCCTTAAACCCCCAAAACCCAAATCCCTTAATCCTAAATCCTATAGGTTTAGGGTTTAGGTATATTCCCTGAACCCTAAACCCTAAACCCTAAATCCCTAAACCCTAAACCCTAAACCCTAAACCCTTTATTCCCAAAAGAGAGGCCTGAAGTTGCTGTACCTCGTCATGGAACCTGACGGCAACTTCACCACAACCCCATGCGGGGTTTAGGGTTTAGGGATTTAGGGGTTTAGGGTTTAGCGGTTCAGGGTTTAGGGTTTAGGGGTTTAGGGTTTAGGGGTTTAGAGGTTTAGGGTAACTGGGTTGCTGTTAAGGAACTTAATTTGAGTTACTATATTGGGGGAACCATATTAATTACTATATATACCCAGTATGGTAACTTTATTTAAGTTCCTTAACAGCAACCCAGAAAATTAGGAGTACTTTTAGAGGGATTATAGGGGCTTTATAAGGGTTATGTAAGGGTTATATGACCTCTAGCTCTAGTCTAACTCCTAGTATCCCCCTTAACAGACCCTGTAGTCGTCCCCTATATAAGCCCCTATATAACACCCTTTCAGGAGTTTAGACTGTGGGGATATGTAGGGTTTAGGGTTTCCCAAATTGGGGTATGGTACTCCTCTGGGGGTCCCTATAATAAGGATTGGAACATCTTGGGTCTTTGGGGTCCCCTCAATTTTCTGTTTGTCTGATCATATTGCTTAGTTGCCAAAGTTATCAACACAGCCAGCTCTCTGACTACAGTGAACAGCGGAGGAAGCTTCAAGGGAGGAGCAGCACCAAAAGCCTGCCAGAATTGCATACAGGCACTCAAGCGAAAGGGGGTTCTTAAAACTGGGGGCCTTAGAGACTCTACGAAAATGTGCGGATCATAAAAAGAAAATGCAGGTCCCACTTGACCAGGGCCCTCCCTTTATCCGTAAATTGGATATATGGAACATAATAGAGGTAGAGGGCGGGCCTGGGAAGGTTCTACAAACTTACAAGCCATGGCAGGCTTTGCCACTCCAAGCTGAGGCAGGTACGTCTGCCACTCAGAAATGATGCGCTTGGCCATCACTATCTTTGGCTCCTGATGAAACGGCATTTACCAAAACGGGGGCATGTTTGGAATGCCTCTGGCAAGGAATATAGTATACTGGAGTACATAACCGGGAGCTCTGCTCATGAAAACTCCCAAAGGATTCATCATGATCATGCACCGCCAACGTCTTTGACGCTGCCGGCGCCCACGAATCTGAAAGCTTGCAAGCTTGAAGCCTTACCTCTGGGTAGTAGGGAATGATGGGGGCTATATGGGGATTCATCGGGGTAATAACAGACGAGAATCAACTGGAAAATAAGATGGACAATGACATGGAAACCGCCATTGAGGGTTTAGGGTTAGGAATGATAAGATAAAGAACATGGAAACTACGATGTTCTTGTGGAGTAGATAAGGGCTTCTACAAGGATCCATTCCTTCGTTCCTGCTAACCAGAGGTGAGCAGCTTAGTCTGCAGTCCTTCGTGAGTGGGTTCTGGCACAGATCTATGGTCTTGGCGCTTGGCTTGCTCTCCTGGTCCAGGGAATCCACACAGAACTCAGGAAGCATGATTCCCAAAATTAAGGGTATTTTGGGAGGGGGTCCCAATAACAAGGCCAATAAATAAATTGGGGTCTATATTGAGAGGATGGAAGCACTAAACCACCAAGCATCTCATGATCTGCTTGGGCCTTCAGATAATGCGCAAAAGTCTGCCCATGGGCTGGCAAAAGGGTAGTGCATATCTCTTGCTGCGTTTACAATCTTTGCAGCAAATACTCTCAAAGAGCACAGAGCTATATCAACATGAGATTCCAAATGGTCACTTGGAGAACCTGTTGCATGCTTAGATGGATCCTTTCCACCCACTTTGACTAACAAACGTGCCGCAGGCAACCTTCCTCCCCTGAATATTGAGTTCAAACCCTGATACCTTGGCCTTTTACTGAAACCCTGAACCCGTAAACCCTGGTCTCTAATCCGGACCCCTAAACCCTAAGCCCTAAACCCTAAGCCCTAAAGCCTATAAGCCCTAAACCCTAAGCCCTAAGCCCTAAAGCCTATAGGCCCTAAACCCTATGCCCTAAACCCTGAACCCTAAGCCCTAAACCCTACTGCATATCTGAAGCCGCAAGCCTGGGAACACCAGGTTTCACACCAGAGCCACTCCGTTGGCCTTTGGGCTTCTCAAGATGGGGTTTAGGGTTTAGGGCTTAGGGAAACATAGGGGCTTTATAGGGAATATGTAAGGGTTCTATAAGGGTACGTAGAGATTATATAGGGTTAGGGACAGTACCACCTAAAATGGAGAATCAAATGGAAAAGATCATCCAGAATCAAGGAGATGGAAACTGGGCAGAGTTTAGGGGTCCCTTTTTGGGGACCTCACGCTACCAAATACAAAGGGTCAGGATGCAAAGCAAAAAGGTCTACATAAGGGACCGTGGCCAATTATAAGTAGGGTTCTAGGTTGTTATAGATACCCCAAATAGAATATAAGTAGATATCTGTATAGATATCCCGCTTACAAGACTTCTGACTACCCATGTCCTCTCCAATCCGAATGATGGTTTGGATGGTTTGCGGTTTTTCTTGGCAATTGCAGAGTACCATCACCGCCACCTGAGCACCGAAACAGCTCAGATAAGGAAAGGGAATGCAAAGGCGCGAACGTTTGGGTTGAAGGGTATAGGGCTAATTGGAGTTTTGCTAAAATGGAGGATCAAATGGGACACTGGAAAGAGACTGTGTTTACATAGGGGTCATCCAGTTGGAACGCAGAATCCTAAACAACAATAGTGCTTCGGGGTAAAGTTTCTAGAGGTGTATGTTGAGCATTGTTGGGATGATGGAAACTACTACATTTTAACAGGGTATACACTGGGATAATGGAAAAGAAAATGAAAACTACTACTTTAGAATAGGGGTCATGTTCCCAACACCGCAACATTTCCGATCTTGTGTCCCGGGCAAAGGCCTACAAATTTGGAAAAAAGCTGAGTGTTTCTCAAGACAAACACCATACGAGTCCTCTATACCCCCAATTAAAGGTTACAAGGATCCCCCGCTTTTTAAGGTTTCGAGAAGTAGTCATCTAGACGTCCTGGAAGCTTGACTGCAATCTCAGCATCACGCAGCGTAAAGATGGGCACTTGGTGCTGCGCGAAGTTGGGCAAGTCCTGGAACAACTGATTAATAAGCCTAATGGTGGGGTCGCTTAGGTACCCTTTGGGATGTTCGGGGATTAGAAGGAGATTATAGGGGCCCCCTTGAAAAACTACATCAGCAAGGTTCTGTCAGCTAGACATGTAGTGTTGGCCGCAGCTCTTGGGTTCAAATCAGTCCAATTCAAATTGCGCTGGCTTACAGGCTGAAGTCCAACGCACCAACCCCCACATCTGAGCAAAAGCTAGTTCCAAATCGAATAACCTTGAAGTCTTGAAGACTGTAGGCTTCTAGTATTTTTCCTTTTTGAGTGTAAATATCACATAACCCTAAACCCAAACCCTAAACCCCAAACCGCATCAACCAAGACCCAGGAAAGTCATCTGCAATGGTATGCCTGTGGACAGGCGTCGAGGGTCAAAGCTGAGCTGAGGGATCCGAGCTTTTCCCACACGATCTAAGGGATATTTGGATTTCCCAAAATTAGGGATACCTCTTTGGGGGTCCTCTTGGTAAGGATGATAATATTTGGGGGTCTATATTGGCGTCCTTGTATTTTAGCGAGGCCGCACGACTACTAGTACCAAAATAATGGAGAGGAAATGGTTTGGGCCTCCATTATTTGGGCTATTACTATTACTACTAGTACCAAAATAATGGAGAGGAAATGGTTTGGCCGCCAGTATTTGGGCTATTACTATTACTACTAGTACCAAAATAATGGAGAGGAAATGGTTTGGGCCTCCATTATTTGGGCTATTCCTCTACTAGTACCAAAATAATGGAGAGGAAATGGTTTGGGCCTCCATTATTTGGGCTACTACTATTACTACTAGTACCAAAATAATGGAGAGGACATGGTTTGGGCCTCCATTATTTGGGCTATTACTCTACTAGTACCAAAATAATGGAGAGGAAATGGTTTGGGCCTCCATTATTTCTTCGCGTGCGTCCTGATTTTAGCATATTAATGAGTTAGCTTCGGCAGAACAATATCTAGACTCAAAACAGAGATGGCCGAGATTTCTTGACTCTGCTCGGGAGCACCCATCACAAATCTGTAGGTGCGACTGCTTGCTCTCAAATGCGTGAATAGAGCAGCATTCCGTGATTCTCAAAAGGCTAGGTGACAATACCAAAAATTGGTATTGTATAATATATTATGGGGTTATATTGGGATAATGGAAAAGAAAATGGAAACTACTGTTTGGGGTTTTGCAGGGTCTCTGTAAATTTGAAATTTACAAACACCCCGCAAGATTGAGAAGCACTTCGTCCTGATCCAGGTTGGCCAAGGAGTTTGGATCCCGGCTTAACTGGCATCATGATGGCAAGGGATCACATGCTGTGGTTTCGGGACATGACCCCAATTCTAGAGAACCAAGTGAAAAAGAACATGGAAATGAAACAAAGAAGCTGTGGCTATATCGCACTTTATAGATTTTGGGTTAGGTCCTATGGTGGATGGAGGCAATCTTGGTGGATGGAGGAAATCTTGCGCCACTGAGGATCCCCAAAGTACAAGGATTGAGGCTTCTACTCCAAATTTGAGATACGGATGTACCTGCTACCAAAGTTATACACGGATTCAGGCTTCTACTAATCTTAAGGATGTACCTCTTACCAAAGGTATGATCCTTTCCCCCTACTATTAAAAGGCTCCCCCACCCTCCCCCCTAATGATTCCGTATTTTTTGGGAAGGGTTTAATTAACATTCGGGGGAATGGATTACACTAAACGCTAAACCCTAAACCCTTATTCAAGGATTCAGGCTCCTACTTGGGAAGTCCCGCAAGCACATCTGCCCTGGCGCGGAGCCAGACCGAAGTCTGGCACTTGCTGCTAACCTCCCCTCATAACGGAGTTTTTGGTGTAGGGTTTAGCGCTCACGGAAAGTTAACAACAACCATTATAGTGGTACTTGGAGGCCCATGGGACTTAGTAAGTCCTTATAACTGGGCTTATAAGCCTACTTATAATTAAGGTTAACCCCTATAAGCCCATTTAGGGGGATTATAAGTAGGGTTATACGCCCAGTTATAAGTAGTTACTAAGTCCCATGGGCCTCCAAGTTGTAATGGAGCCATAATAGCAATAGTAGCCCCATTGTAAGTAGTGATTGCAAGTAGTGCTTGAAAATCGGAACGGTAACTGTAATTGTAGTCCGTAAGATACTAGCAACAGCAACAGGAATATTAACAGTAAATCGTGATGGGCAACACTTTCTAATCTAGTAGTGATGTAGTAAGAGTGATACTGATAGTTTTCAATGTATTTTGTAGTGAGAGCTTTGCAGCACCTAATGAATTCTGGGCAAAGATTGCGAATCTGATTAAAGTTCTGACGGTGACCTGTTCGAACGGTGCAGCAACCAAAAGCCCTTGAAAGCACGTAGTCTATCCATTGTCCACGAACACCAAACACCATCACACGTTTTTGAGGTCTCACACGCCAGTAGGCACAGTAAAGTAAAAATCGCACAAGCACCTGATCTCCTAAGTGCAACTTAACCATAACTCTTCTGAGAGAGTCATGGATCTGCAAGTACTCGAAATTACCTCTCTACTCTGTTTAGGTAGTAGTTGCCCAAAATAGCGGCCTCCCAATGCAATCCCCAAAATACTATAACCCTTATTCAGGGGACCCTCGAGTTGGTGCCCCTAATTTTGGGAAACCCCCGGGTGTGTTTAACATGGATGATGCACCTGGTTGTAGACACCTCGCAGCGTCTCTCCGGTAGAGGTGCGCCGGAACTGGCACCATGGGCTGCTTCTCCCACAAATGAAAAACTCCTTCTTCTCACCTGTTGAAATACTGCAATTTTTCCGTTTTTGTACAAGCAGATTTCTCAATGTTCATGGAAAAGGGTGCTAATTGATTAGGGGCATGAGACCCGGCGGCTGATGGCCTCGGTGGCTTCAGGATGGACCTACACAGCTTGGGAGGCCAACTAAATGCGCATTTCTCAGGAATGTCAGGCTTAAAGGCTGAGCATTGGCCTACTTTGCCTCTGTTTAGGTTGGGCAAGCTGGCACCCATCAGCCTGAATGCTTGCATGCTCAGAATTGAGACCTCTTACAGTATCAAAATTGACCATCGTATGGATCTCCATGTAGGAATTTCTGACGCATGGTTGTCCCCCGAACCCCAAACCCCAAACCTTGCAGTTCCCAATCACATTGAGGGCCCTTACACTGGTTCACGCCGCATCAAGTATGAAGTATGTTATATGGCATGTCTGCAATGTAGACATGTGAGCCATAGTCTGAACTCCCAGTATCCGCCTTGATAACACCTTTCATAATCCCCTATATACTCCCCTGTATAACCCGCTTCAAGCAGTTTAGACTATAGCTCATGTAGAAACCTGAATAGCTACCCGTCTCAGCTCCTTGAAAATCATCCTTTTGCAGCTTTTGTCTAATGTGCCAAAAAACCCCATTCTCAATTATTTGCCCCCTACGGTGGGAGGGCTTGCCTCAACCAAGTCAACCACAAACAGGGCTGAAATGTGGTACCTGGCAGCAGAACTTGGAACACTTGCATAACAAGAGGGTAGGCTGGGCTAGGTAGGTATGTTGCGAAACAATACTTAGCTACAATACTACTAATATCCTTTCATCATGAGAGACCATGGAACATGTCATGGTTATAACTTGGGTTTTGCCTACCTTGGCCTAGATCCTGAACAATAACCTATATATATAGTATAATCACAGGTTTCATCTGACTTTCCATTTTCTGTTGCATTTGATGCTGCACTAGGATACCTACACCCCGCTCGGAGTGTAAAATCAAGCCTAAACCCGAAATCCTAAAGCCTAAACCCAGGCTAGGGTGAGTAGCCAGATCTGCTTCAGGAGCCGTGAAAACTAGGTCAGGCTTGCACAATCAGAGATGCGCTGGGTTTATGGTTTAGGGTTTCAGGAATTGTGGTCTCTTTTCTAGGGTAGGTTTCGGGGCGCTGTACAAGCAGGTTTCTATGGCTCAATAGGGACCACATCTAGGGAGTAAGGGTATATAAGACACATGAACCATTTTTTATGTTCAAACCTGCCCCTGTTTTGGGCAATCCTCAATGTTAGGACTCTGTACCATACAAGGGAACCAGAAAGGGACAACAAGTTCGACAATCCTCCGCATAATGATTCCCCGGATGATCTGCACGCTCGGGCTTTGCAATCTACTGCAACCCTAAATTATACCTGAACCCTAAATCCTGAACCCTAAACCCTAAACTAAACCCTAAGCCCTGAACCCTAAACTCTAAACCCTCACTGGAGATGAGCTATATGGGTGGTTGTCAAACTTATGGTCCCTTTTTGGGTACCCTAAATATTCGGTGCCGTACTATAATAGGGACCCAAAAAGGGACCATAATTTTGACAACCACCCATATGTATTACGCAAGGAAACTTGAGGGTTGATACTAGGCGGACTGCCGTTGTTGCAGGAGATGCCATATCAGCTAATTT